AATATCTCATATGAATTAAATTAATTATCAGTACCAAAACAGAGTAAATATGACCATTCTACCAGTTATTGACATCTGGACAAAGAGAGCCAAGGTATCAGTGTAGAAGGCAGTAGTCAGCCATTGTTGTTAGACCATAGTTGCAGGAGCAAAACAGCTCCATCTAATTCTCCCTTGGACGAAGTATTATGGAGAGTAAATTAGTGCTTCTACCATCATCAACACTCAGTCAATATCTAAACAAGGGAAGTATCTATCCGAAATCTTATCTAGTGATTCCTGTCCAGTAATATCAGGTAGAATTATTTTCTGGTTAGCACGAGGGAAAGCGATCAACCCAGAGTGAATATTATTCTCATCTCCATTTAATTTTGTTTAATTTATATAGGATTACTGTTATTATATAAGTGGCCTTTGGCAGGAACAATTGAAGATGAAGCTAGTAACCAGTACATGAGTTGGGGGTCAGTCACACCCATAAAGTGGATCGACTGGCTTATTCATCCGTGTTCCTACTGATTGTCTAGGACTAAATCATCTATAAAAGATAAGGCAGCTTAATTTTATTTATTAATATGTAGTTTAATACTGTACTTTGACTATATATATATATATATATATATATATATATATATATATATATATATATATATATATATATATATAAACAATATAACTAATGTGTAAGGAGATCGATTTGTGAGAAAATTTGCAGAAATACAGTCCGCTAAACAACATACAAATTGCTATTGAAATATATAAATTAACGTATATATAAATTCCAAATAAATTCATATAAATTAAATAAATATAAATCTCACAGATCGGTTCCCCCATATCACCAACACCTCACCAGCTCCTCACCAACACCTCACCAGCTCCTCACCAACACCTCACCAGCTCCTCACCAACACCTCACCAGCTCCTCACCAACACCTCACCAGCTCCTCGGTAGACAATAATAGCTGCCCCTACAAATATAAGTTATGCGAAGCCAACTCTTACAAATATAAACTGAAAAAGGAATGTTCCTCTTTTTTGTTTTTGGAAGTGAGGCAGTAAAGGCCCACTAAGGAGCAACCTGCACTTAAAGACGCACTCCGCTTAGCAATTACAAAAATACGAAAAGCTCTCCTGGGCAAAGCAGGTTGTTTTTCCACAGTGGAATTGGGTGGTTATGGAGTTTGTTACGTGTCGCGCTGCTGTAATATTACCCTGTTGCCTGAGACCTCCAACTATTTCCACACGCACACAGGCATACAGGTGCACAAACACACATATACACAAACACACACACATACATACACACACACAAACACGACCTAAAGGAGCAGATTGTACAGGCTAATTTCATTCATAACTTTAAAAACAGGTTATAAGGAAATAGGCTAGGAATTATTGCATTAGAGAATCAACGGGTAGAAAAGCGGAGTCTAAGAGCTAGAGCTCGATCATGCAGGCACAAATAGCTGAGCGCAAATAGGTGCATACACACTCGCAAATATAAATTCATCCTACGAAAATGTCAGTACTTATTCTAACTACTTGGGAGCGTTAGTTAATATTGGTTGAAATGCACTAATTGGAGTAATATGAAGGATGTTAAAGTGAGTGAGGGGGAGGGGTACTCCTCAAGGGGGAAGCAAAGGAATAGAGCAGTGTTATCATCATGGAGAGAAGCAACCAACTGTATTAATATTGTCCACAAAGGTCACGATTAAGACCCGTATTCTTTCTATGTCTACGCTCTAATAATATATTGTGCCTGAAGGACAAAAATGCCTTTAGAAGCCCTATATACATCATGAGGCATAATCCTGAGTATGCAGCATAAGCATGGAACTCTCGCCTGAGAACAACAGGATACAGCGTCAAAAGATGTGCAACACAGTTCGTTCCTGAGCAAATGGGCTTGAACTACAAGGATTGGCTGATGCAAGTGAACTGAACCACGCTGGAGGATAGGAGTCACGGGGGGAACTTGATAGCGACATATAAACCTCTAAGTTAAACCGACACAGTAGAGAGAGCAACATTGTTTAAAGCTGGGAACGTTAAAACAAGGGAGTTTATATGGAGACTAGAGACGCAGAAGAGTTACGGAGATATTAAAAATAACTTTGTTATGTGTTAAGAGTCGTCACTAGTAGAAATCAGTCCGTCGAAGACGCTCTTGAAGATTATTCAAAACAAAATGTTATAATGTATGTTTGACAAAAGCGTATAAATCGAGTTGCATTAATCTGAGCTGGATGGCCAGTCAGGAACCAAGCTGGACCTCCCGCAAGCACTTCTCGCAGAGCACGTTAGGAAGGTCCACACACGCTGGACACTCAGGTGGAAACAAAATATCCACCACCAAATTACAGCTATTTCCTGCTCTGTGACGTGATCTTTTTACTTTATATTATCCAGCATTCTTGACAGAAGAGAAAGAGTGGGGCAGACAGAAAGAGACGGAGAAAATGAATCCCGGGAGCTATCGATTTTTCCATCGAAGGAGTCCAGCAGTATCTCTCCCTCCCCGGAGAGGGACACAGTTAGGCACAGGGGGACTTACCTTTACTGGAGGAAAAACTATTTTAGAGAGGTTGTGAAGCTTGCGGTGAGGCCCGTCTGAAGGAGCGAGGCCACGACTACTGCAGACACTGCAGGAGAGATCCCCCTGTGCTACACAATTATCAGGTTCCTTGTGCATTACAACACGGAGTGACACCACTCTTTGATGAATGTAAAGATCGATAACTGTAATAATTGCAAGCTGTAACGATCGGTGAACCTGGTACCAAGAGCTATTCCACATATTTGTTGAACGTTCTAATTAATAGAATTAACTTGAATTTGTTAGTTGTGGTAAGGATAAGTTTGGTTAGATTTTGTTAACTTAGCTTAGGTTTTGTTAAGTGAAGCTACATTAGCTTGGATTAAATGGTCTAGGTTTGGTTAGGTAAGTGTTAGCTCAGGGTTTAGTTTATGGTAAACTATAATAGATTAGTTTAGGTCAGGTAATAATAGATTAGGTACGAATAGGTTATGCGTGGTTGGATTTGAAAATGATAAGCTACGACAGGTTGGGCTTCTGCGAGTCACATGCTGATTTTTAACTAGTAAACATTCAATGATTATCTTTAGAATCGATTCTTCTCATGGAAGAAGCTGCCGAAAGTGTTGATATGGTCTATCTTCTTTGTTTTTAATTCTCCAGTTCAAGTCCACTTTCTCTAGAATCTTTACTAGATTGTCCGTCCATGCACTTGTTCTATATTGAAGGTTTCTCTGAAGCTCATTTCCTTCCATTCGTTTCTCTTATACGTTACATCCTCACCAACACCTCTCCAGCTCACCACCAACACCTCACCAGCTCCTCACCAACACCTCACCAGCTCCTCACCAACACCTCACCAGCTTCTCACCAACACCTCACTAGCTTCTCACCAACACCTCACCAGCTCCTCACCAACACCTCACCAGCTTCTCACCAACACCTCACTAGCTTCTCACCAATACCTCACCAGCTCCTCACCAACACCTCACCAGCTGTGGGGAAACTCCAGGCAGCTATTCTCTTTTTTTCAAATTGACTTTAATAAGATAAAGTTATGTCTTATTTATTTTTCTTAGTAAGTAAGAATTAATTGAGTGGACTGTATATACTTGTAAACTGCCTGAAATCTTCTTACACACTAATGGGGGGGGGGGCAATTGGTAGCCTAAACCACTTTGTTATGGCTCCTTCTTAAACTATCAATTGTTTACCTTTTATAATTATAATATACCACATGTGGTGGTCTAATCTACTAGTAATAATTACTAATTATGACTACTAATACTGATACAAATGGCTTAGCTGTGCCAGTGGTGTGGGCCTGGTAAGGCGTGTAGGTGTATCCTCCAGATTGGGTGTGGCCCTGTGCCTCCTTGTGCCACGTAATGGCGGCTGGTGGGAAGGATAAAGCTTGACAAACAATAGTTAATGTGTATGAACCAACTGTCTGCACAGATTCTTGTTGCTCCTCTCACAATTTGCCTGTATGGAATGCAAGGAATTAATCAAAGTTCCCTAAACATATCAATTACAGGTATGGCATGAAATAGGTGGGTATAATCTGGAGTACACGTACATTGTGTTATGTTTTATTCCTACATCGTGACAGCCTTTACCCATTGAATCAAAATGTGCACAAAATGATATACAATACTTGGTAAGACGGATACAGTCGTTGTTGTGATGTTGATAGGCTGTGTTGCTGGTTGTTGACACGTAATTGGGGTGTCTAGTTGTTTCACCAGCTCTAGAGCCAAATACAGCGTAGTGGCTACCCTTTGTTATTATGATGCGGGAGCCTTGCTCCCAGTCGGGCCAACGCCCTCATGCTGGTTCCTCTCTCAAAGTAATTTTACATTAACAAGGGAACCTAGCTACAATTTGATGTTAATAATTATATTCAGTCTTATTGATTACTTTTTTGTTAACTCTAGATACTAAACTAGTCTATTAACAATGTTTCATAATGTAAATATACGAAGACTCCGTGGTGTAATGGTAAGACACTCGCCTGGCGTTCCGCGAGCGCTATGTCATGGGTTCGTATCCTGGCCGGGGAGGATTTACTGGGCGCAATTCCTTAACTGTAGCCTCTGTTTAACGCAACAGTAAAATGTGTACTTCGATGAAAAAACGATTCTTCGCGGCAGGGGATCGTATTCCAGGGACCATAGGATTAAGGACCTGCCCGAAACGCTACGCGTACTAGTGGCTGTACAAGAATGTAACAACTCTTGTATATATCTCAAAAAAAAAAAAAAAGACATCCATGACGTCACGGAGTCGATGACGTCACGGAGGCTCCCATTTTCCATCCTGAAGGGATTACAGACTAAGGGAGACTGTGTTATATGTGTGTATGTGTTTGTGTGTGTCGGTTTCCCGACACCAGCTCCTCACCAGGTGTTCTGGTGAGGTGCACCTGGTGAGCTAGCTAGGTTAATTAGATGAAGTTATGCTGTGTCAAGTTACGGAAAGAACTGCACATGCTCCACCAAGCAAAGAACTGCACATGCGCCACCAAGCAAAGAACTGCACATGCGCCACCAAGCAAAGAACTGCACATGCGCCACCAAGCAAAGAACTGCACATGGTCCACGAAGCAAAGAACTGCACATGCGCCACCAAGCAAAGAACTGCACATGCGCCACCAAGCAAAGAACTGCACATGGTCCACGAAGCAAAGAACTGCACATGCGCCACCAAGCAAAGAACTGCACATGCGCCACCAAGCAAAGAACTGCACATGCGCCACCAAGCAAAGAACTGCACATGGTCCACGAAGCAAAGAACTGCACATGCGCCACCAAGCAAAGAACTGCACATGGTCCACGAAGCAAAGAACTGCACATGCGCCACCAAGCAAAGAACTGCACATGCGCCACCAAGCAAAGAACTGCACATGGTCCACGAAGCAAAGAACTGCACATGCTCCACCAAGCAAAGAACTGCACATGCTCCACCGAGCAAAGAACACAAAGCAGCTCCTCGCGGTTCACCGGGTGTACCTGTGTGTTTCTGTATTTCAGTTCAGTGTTCCGGATACGGTGGCCGGTCCATGGTTGCCGCCGCTTTAACACAATCATGAAACAAAACATTACCTACTGTCTGAGCCAACTTTACACCAAAATTTAATATATAATATATTAATTCTTAGCTGTGAAAATACAGATTTTGATTGCTCAGTTTGTTCATGTTGGTGAATGGATCTTTGCAGCTTGAACAAGCACCTCCCGAGGATGGATTGTGTTCACAGATGTAGAACATATAGCAGGGCTTAGAAAAGTAAGAATATGTAATGGTTGATTCAGCTACTCCTCCAAGAATTTACTCCAGACAGCTCGTCTGTGTATAACACCAAATCCCAAGATTGTGTTTCAATAAGACTGAAGCCAGTGAATTTCCGATCAAAAGAAAAGATTTATTGTTATTGTGTGTTACTAGACGAGCAAAGTTATGGAGACAGAAGGCTGCAATTCTCCCAGAGTTTCATGTATACTTTAGTGAACGTTGGTCCTCAACGGGAAAGAAAATATCTGAGAAAATATGAACACGGATCAACTAATGAGCTAAGAAAAGTGGGTAACTTGCAGCCACGTAGTAATATCACTGCAAAGGCTCTTTGTGCCGTCCTTGTGACCAAGTGCTGCTTTTTACTAGGATACACGTCCAATTAAATTGTAAAGTTACCTTTGGTGAAGAAAAATTCAACTTTCTTTCTAAGTGAAGAATGTTATGGTTCTCATAGTCTACCTTAATACAATTTTCATTTCAGTGAATCACATTCGTTCTCACCCAGCATATAGTCCTGCCGGAAAGCCTTTAATTAGAATTTGAATGAATAAATTTAAGTATGAAGCATGTTTTAACGTTATTCTTATGTTCTATTGGACTGTTCTAGTAGAACAAGATGATGCATGCACATCGATGATGTCAAGAGAAACGACTACGCTCCTGCATCACCTGACTAAAGAGGACCAAAGCTCTACCTATTACTTCCCCTACACTGAGCCAATAATCAGTTTTTCTTCCGTAAGGCAGCTCAACCCATGAGTTAGAGCTGGAGGGTGATCTCTGAGAAGACGCATGAGGTAGAACGGAAGGGATGGGGGGCGACCTCTGTTGGCGAAGGGGAGTTCCTGAAGGTTTTATCTTACCTAACCTCTGGTCCACCGTTACACCATATCGGAAAGAAGACGTCCTCGAAGCAGAAGTCGGAAAGAAGTTAAGTGGTTGACACTAGGCAGGTGTACTTGATACCGGACATTGACCTAAAAGGAAGACAAAGTGGAGGAGGTGGGGGTGACTTGGCACACAGCCGTTTCCGAAGCTTTAAGGCACTTGAGTCATTGGAAGTGATTTGGCAACGGACCGTTTGTTTCATATCCGTGTCCCCCACAGTTTGAATGTTTGTAAACTCATGAAAGATAGATGGCCTATCAGGAAGATACAAACTGGTGGCACTTGGTGATTGGTACCTCCTATGGTGACTCGTACCACCTCTGTTGCCTGGTACCACCTCTGGTGGCTGGTACCACCTCTGGTGGCTGGTACCACCCATGGTGGCTGGTACCACCCATGGTGGCTGGTACTACCACGGGTGGCTGGTACCACCTCTGGTGGCTGGTACCACCTCTGGTGGCTGGTACCACCCATGGTGGCTGGTACTACCACGGGTGGCTGGTACCACCTCTGGTGGCTGGTACCACCCATGGTGGCTGGTACTACCACGGGTGGCTGGTACCACCTCTGGTGGCTGGTACCACCCATGGTGGCTGGTACTACCACGGGTGGCTGATACCACCTCTGGTGGCTGGTACCACCCATGGTGGCTGGTACTACCACGGGTGGCTGGTACCACCTCTGGTGGCTGGTACCACCCATGGTGGCTGGTACCACCTCTGGTGACTGGTACCACCTCGGGTGACTGGTACCGCCTCTGTCTTCAGCTTACCACTGCAAAAATGCCGATGGTACCTAGTGTGGAACTGGCGCTATTTTACCCAGTTTCGACAGCCTTTCCTTTAATAAAGTTTTGAGACTGACACTAAACCGCTTATTATTGTTCTATTGTTTGATTATAGTGATTTATTATTCACAAGAACGTCTCAGACGTGATATTAAAATGCGAAATTAAATACATATACATAGCCTAGTACATTTGATTATATCTATTGGCGCCATAGTGATTGACAAACAACAATTATTTGAGATTAGTGAGAATTGAAGTGGCTGATTTTCGTTGTATTTTATTCATTGTATTGTTAATGCATTTTGGTCTCTATGAGTGACACACCGAATTGATTACCATTTAAATATTCATTCTCTTGAAATTATGTGCCAGTGACGTGAAATAATTTGAGTTATTTCAACAAATTATTATTGAGGAGTGCAGCCTATTTCAGAGATTTAGAAAGATATAACACAATTGCGTCTTCTTTCCGCTTAAGGAATTATTCATTTTATACAAGGACACCAAGGACTACCATGATGGTGAAATATGGATTTCAGGGTACAATCTTTTCAGTATCTAGGCTTGTCAGTACTTTTTCTCATCCTCTTATCGGACATAGACAAGGACACAATCTTTAGTACTCTATCATCCTTTGCAGATAACACTAGGATTTTCATGAGGGTAGACAACATAGAGGACACGGCAAACCTCCGATCAAATATAAATTAGGTCTTTCTATGGGCTACAGAAAATAATATGCTGTTTAACGAAGATAAGTTCCAGCTCATGCGCTACGGAAAAAAATTAAAATATGAAAACTAAAACACCTACAAAACTCAGTCAAATCATACCATAGAACGAAAAGGCAATGTTAAGGATTTGGGTGTACTCATGTCGGGAGACCTTACCTTTAAATAACACAATAAAGTAGCCGTCACAACTGCAAGACAAATGAGAGGTTGGATAACATGAACCTTTCGCACTAGAGATGCTATACCAATGATGATAATTTTCAAGACACTAGTGCTCTCTAGAGTGGAGTACTGCTGCACAATGACAGCCCCTTTCAAAGCTGGAGAAATTGCTGATCTGGAGAGCGTGCAGAGATCCTTTATTGCTAAAATCGAACCAACCAACCCAAAATCGGTAGAGTGCTTATACTTAGATCAGGAGATCACCCTGTACGCTTCCTACTCTCTGAGAGGGGCTCAGCGTCACACCTTAAGGGGGTGCGGCCCCAACACTGGTTTCTTTGTCACGTGTACACACCCAACTCGAGCTGCTGTGACTCCCCACTATCTCCTTATGTGGTATGATCTCAATCCCCCTTTCGTTTGAATTATAACTCTGTACCACATTGTCCACAGCTGTGGTGCTGGATCTCAATATCTCTTCTACTTCCTGAGAAGCCTCACTAGGACAAAGGCAAATACCTGTTCATTACAAGCATTTAATAACAACACAGAACATATATATAGCACTCACATGCAATATATATGTATATAAACTTCAACACCTTAAGATATTATAACCTGGTTGCAAACCAATACCATCAAGACTCTACCAGCTGCTTATACCATGTGGTAGCCCAACTCCTGGCTCGCCACTTATGCTAGCAATCTCGCCAAGTGGGTTAAACCTTGTAAAACAATTATGGCACTATCAGCCCTAGAATATATATATATATATATATATATATATATATATATATATATATATATATATATATATATATATATATATGCGGAAAATATATATATATATATATATATATATATATATGCGGAAATATATATATATATATATATGCGGAAAATATATATATATATATATATGCGGAAAATCCACAGAGAAATATGAAATGAGGTGAACGTTTCGGCTTTGTTAAAGCCTTCCTCCCCCTTCTCCCTTCTCCTTAGTCAGTCTGGTGTTGACAAAGGCTTTAACAAAGCCGAAACGTTCACCTCATTTCACATTTCTCTGTGGATTTTCCGCATAAAATGATCAGTGTTTTGTGATCGTCAATTGCATATATATATATATATATATATATATGTTTCATTGAATATGACCGCATATTCTGTATTTATTATTTTCTGGTTTAGGGCTTCTATCCCTCTAACTATTTTCTTAGCATCAGGGCTTAATTGGAATAGGAGTTCTCCAAAACTCATTTTCGTACTTTTAAGGTGAAGAAAAGAAGTGATTTACTATAGAGTGTATTACACTTATTTGTATAATTTGCACGACGTTTCGAACCTCCATGGTTCATTCTCAAGTGAACAGATCTTACAATACTAGTTGATTTTATACCCGCATTAGGTCAGGTGATAATACAATGAAGGTGAAAACATGGGGGGATACATAAGGGATAAACATAGGGGCTGCAGAAGGCTTATTGGCCCATACGAGGCATCTCCTATCTAAACACAAAGATTAATCCAGTGTAATTGGCCTGTTATGTTGGACAACACATTGTCTTCTGTGTTGGCATCGATATGTTCTTGTCTTGTCCTTACTCTCATGGTGGGTAGAGTAAATAGTTCCGTGATTTGGGTGTTCATGGTTGGCTGCCTTCTGCAGCCCCTATGTTTATCCCTTATGTATCCCCCCATGTTTTTCACCTTCATTGTATTATCACCTGACCTAATGCGGGTATAAAATCAACTAGTATTGTAAGATCTGTTCACTTGAGAATGAACCATGGAGGTTCGAAACGTCGTGCAAATTATACAAATAAGTGTAATACACTCTATAGTAAATCACTTCTTTTCTTCACCTTAAAAGTACGAAAATGAGTTTTGGAGAACTCCTATACCAATTAAGCCCTGATGCTAAGAAAATAGTTAGAGGGATAGAAGCCCTAAACCAGAAAATAATAAATACCGAATATGCGGTCATATTCAATGAAACATGTTTGAAAGAAAACCTGCTGCCAGTATACACCAATATATATATATATATATATATTATTAAATATGACCGAAAAAGTAAGATTAATAATTCTAACACGAATTTTCTCAATCTTTCGTACATTACGCTTCACTGTTGGAGGTAAATCAAAAATCACTTCTCCAAAATTCATTTTTATTTCTAGTCTGACGCGACACGGGCGCGTTTCGTAAAACTTATTA